CCTGACTCTGGGAGGAGAGCTGGCCAGGCAGGGCAGGAGTTGCCTCAGTAATGCCATCTCCCTTCCTGGGATGTGCCAGGCACCCAGGGAGGCAAAGGGTGCAGGCATGACTATCTGAGCCCCAGCAGGTGGCGCCACTCAGCCTCGGTGATCTCCCCCTTGGCAGTCTGCAGTCCTGGGGGGGGGGGAGAAGGAACTAGGGTGAGAGGAGGGTGGGGAAGGTCTCAGGACCCGGTGGACCCTGAGGGATACTGTGAGGCCAGTGGGAGGAGTGGGGCTGTGGGGGAGGAAGCTGCTCTGCCAGGGTGTGCACCTGGGCAGCGGGTGCAGGGTCATCACTCAGAAGAGCCCGTTAGAGATGGTGAAGGCGACCCCAAGAGCTAGTTATAGCATCCAGTTCAGACAGCGATCTCAAACACGTTAGCCGTCAAGGAAGCCTTCTTCCCAATCACATCTGACGTGGAACGCCAATGTAGAAGTCAGATAAAAGCTGGATTTTTATGGGTGTAAATTTAGATATTTAAATTTATAGCATTTAGCGAATCCAGGAAGGTAACCTGTTGTGATACAGATATTTAGCATCAAGGCTGATGGGGGATGTCTACATCATCTTAACACTCCGCTTATTTTTCTGTTTCATTCATATGAAAAAATGTTGGCCAAGCTGTTACAAATAGTTACAGCAGTTTACCCCTCACCATAGTCTCAGGCCTGTACAAAGTAAGCGATCTTGGCAACAAAGTGGCTGGAGCTATTGAATGTGCTTCAATGCTGCACATATTACTTCAGAGTAGAGGGGGTTTTCCTTTCCTTTCCTCCTTTTCTTTTTTTATTTTTAAGAGGTTTTTGCCTTGGGGCACATGCGCTTAGGGAGGGGGGAGACAGAACCAGTGAGAGGGAAAGTGATAAATCACTCCCTAGGGGGGACGATCACCACAATCCCTTCTCCTGTATTCTCCTCCTGGGATCTTGGGCGCATGTGCGCACAATGTGCCTAATGTGATTTTCAAGCCACCGGGTCCGGGACTTGAACCACGGTCGACCATGTGGGAGTCCAGTGACATAACCACTATACCATCTGCTGGCCCCAAGATGTTTTGTTTGTTTGTTTGTTTTTGAATCAATTTTTTAAAAAACATCTTTACTTTATGGATTTTCTTTTTTTTTTTTGGAGAGGTTTTTTTTGTTGTTGTTGTTGTTTTGTTTTTTGGTTTTTTTTTTTGCTATAGGGCACGTGCGCTCGCCAGACAGACAGAGAGAGACAGAGAGATAGAAAGCGAGAAATCCCCCCCCCAGGGTAATGGCCACGCCACAATCCCTTCTCCTCCATTCTCCCCTCGGGATCTTGGACACACCCGCGCACGGCATGAGTTCAAGCCACTGGGTCCGGGACTCGAACCGCGGTCGACTACGTGGGAGTCCAGTGACATAGCCGTTATGCTAACTGCTGTTCCCACTTTTTGGATTTTCTAAGCAGGTTGTTAAGGAATTCTTGAAGGCCCAACAGGACAAAGTTTGAGTACCACGGAGGCAATCCAGCCTCCCCGTTTCACAGACGGAAAGAACGAGGCTAGCGAGGGGGCAGGGCTTACCCAGGATTCCAAGGGAGACAGAGGAGATGGTCAGATACAGAGGGTATCATTGCTTCTGTAATTACAAGCACAAACAGTTCCCAAGTCAGGAGTAGAAAGACATCAGGACGAGGCACACCCAAAATTAGCTGAGCCTTGTCAGTGCCGAAAGTGTCTGCTGTCTGTCTGTCTGCATGGCCGCTAGCCTCAGTATTAACATCTCCTTCTCTTTCTGCAGCGATGCCCTCCTAGCCAGCGCTGCGGGATGGAGGGCTTCATGGACTCAGGGACACAGACGGATGCCGTGGTGGTGCTGTCCTTGGCTCAGGCCGCCGTGCTAGGCCTGGTCTCGGAAAATGAGCTTTTTGGAGCCACCATAAGCGCTGAGGCCTTCTACCCAGACTTGGGGCCCGAGCTGTCCGGGACATCCACAGGGGAGCCCGGGCCACCAGGCCCCGACGTCTACCAGCTGGCCTGCAACGGGCGGGCCCTGGAGGAGCCGGCAGAGGAGGAGGTACTGGAGGTGGAAGCAGCCTTTGAGAAGCACACCCGGCGGAAGACACGGCCCCCGGTGCGGCTGGTGCCCAAGGTCAAGTTTGAGAAGGTGGAGGAGGAGGAAGAGCAGGAGGTCTATGAGGTTTCCGTGCCTGGTGATGACAAGGACATGGGCCCGGCAGAGGCCCCCGCCCAGGTGGCCAGTGGCGGCTGTGAGGCCCTAGTGCAGAGCAGCGCCGTCAAGATGATCGACCTCAGCGCCTTCAGCCGCAAGCCCCGGACGCTCCGGCATCTGCCCCGAACCCCGAGGCCAGAGCTGGACGTGGTCCCATATGACCCCCACTTCCCAGACCCGGCCCGGGATGGCTTCCCTGAGCCCAGCATGGCACTGCCTGGGCCAGAGGCCTTGCCCACTGATTGTAGTTTTGAGCCACCCCACCTGGCCCCACTGAGTGACCCCGAGGTCCCCACCATGGAGTCCCCAGAGCCAGTAAAGCCAGAGCAGGGCTTCGTGTGGCAGGAGGCCAGTGAGTTTGAGGCTGACACAGCAGGCTCGACAGTGGAGCGACACAAGAAGGCCCAGCTGGACAGGCTGGACATCAACGTGCAGATCGACGACTCCTACCTGGTGGAGGCGGGCGACCGCCAGAAGCGCTGGCAGTGCCGCATGTGCGAGAAGTCCTACACGTCCAAGTACAACCTGGTGACGCACATCCTGGGCCACAACGGCATCAAGCCACACTCGTGCCCGCACTGCAGCAAGCTCTTCAAGCAGCCCAGCCACCTGCAGACACACCTGCTGACGCACCAGGGCACCCGGCCCCACAAGTGCCAGGTGTGCCACAAGGCCTTCACGCAGACCAGCCACCTCAAGCGCCACATGCTGCTGCACTCAGAGGTCAAGCCCTATAGCTGCCACTTCTGCGGCCGGCCGTGGCTTCGCCTACCCCAGCGATCTCAAGGCCCACGAAGTGAAGCATGAGAGCGGCCGCTGCCATGTGTGCGTCGAGTGCGGCCTGGACTTCTCCACCCTGACCCAGCTCAAGCGCCACCTGGCCTCCCACCAGGGCCCCACCCTCTACCAGTGCCTCGAGTGTGACAAGTCCTTCCACTACCGCAGCCAGCTGCAGAACCACATGCTGAAGCACCAGAACGTGCGGCCCTTCGTGTGCACTGAGTGCGGCATGGAGTTCAGCCAGATCCACCACCTCAAACAGCACTCGCTCACCCACAAGGTGAGACCTCCCGCGCGGGCCTCCCTCCTGCATGGGGCTCCCTCCTACCTCAGGCCTCCCTCCTGCATGAGACTCACTCCTGCATGAGACTCCCTCCTGCCATGGCCATCTCTCCTGCATGGGCTCCCCTCCTGCATGGGCCTCCCTCCTGCCATGGGGCTCTCTCCTGCATAGTCCTCTCTCCTGCACAGACCTCCTTCCCGCGTGGGCCTCCTTCTTGCATGGGCCTCCCTCCTACCTCAGGCCTCCCTCCTACTATGGGCCTCCCTCCTGCATAGTCCTCTCTCCTGCATAGTCTTCTCTCTTGGATGGGCCTCCCTCCTGCCATGGGGCTCTCTCCTGCACAGGCCTCCTTCCTGCATGGGCCTCCTCCTTGCATGGGCCTCTCTCCTACCTCAGGCTTCCCTCATACCATGGGCCTCCCTCTGCATAGTCCTCTCTCCTACAGGGGCCTCCTCTTGCATGGGCCTTCCTTTTGCATGGGCCTCCCTCCTGCCTCAGGTCCTCTTCCTGCTATGGACATCCCTCCTGCAGTGGCCACCCTTCTGCACAAGCCTCCCTTCTGCATGGGCCTCCCTCCTGCCGTGGGGCTCCCTCCTGCATGGGCCTCCCTCTACACGGGCCTTTCTCTTACACGGGCCACCCTCCTGTCACGGGCTTCCCTCTGCATGGCCCTTCTTCCTGTTAGAGCCTGGCCTTTGGGGACTTTCCCCATCCTGCCACTTGCTCATCCAGTACCTCCTAGGGTCCTGGGTGACATCACTTAGGTGGTGCACAGATGGACAGTCCTTATTTTTAGAGTTACAGATTTATTTTGATGAGTAATAGAAAGAAATAGAATCGAAATTTGTTTTTTTAATAATAAAATGTTATTTAAAAAACATTTTTTTAATTGCAGAGGGTATGTGTTCTTGTTAGAGAGAAACAGAGAGAGGGAGAGGAGAAAGCACCTCCAATGGGGTGCACATACTCTATGGCCAAAAAACAAACAAAAAAAGGACTGTGAAATTAAATCTGGGCTCAGCAGTAAAAGCGTAAGACTGATTATTAGGGCCGGCAGGTAGCATGGACTCCCACATGGTTGACTGCAGTTCAGACCTGGACCTGGCAGCTGGCTTTCTCACTTTCCCTTCCTTTCTCTCTCTCTCACTCTGTCTCTCTCTAGTAAAATAAAATTTAATAAGTAAATAAAGTTAAATAAAATAATTATCTTTAAAAATTGATTATTAATGTTTGCAAGGGGTAAGAGTGGAAGGTGATGGTATATCTACTATACATATAATTTTTCTTTGCCATCTTTCTCCTCTTTTAGAGACCTAAAAAATCCCAAGTCCACAGAGTATTAAAAGATAAATAATATTTTTCGGGGGGGGAGGGCAGCAGATGGCATGGTGGTTCGAACACTGGACTCCCACATGACTGACCACAGTTCAAGTCCCAAACCTGATAGCTTGCTTTCTCACTTTCCCTCTCTCTTTCTCTCTGGTCAAATTAAAAATAAATAAATAATAAAATTAAATAAACCTTAAAAGAAAAAAAAAAAGATTAATAATACTTAAAAAAAAAAAAAAAACATGGAGGGAACCACAAGAGGGCAAAAAGG